GGAAATTGTTGGGAGAAAACTTTTTAACATCTTTGGTTCTTTATGCTTTGCGTTGATATCAGTTCTAGAGTTATTTTTGGGGGCACTATTTACATTTGAAACTGGATTCGACTCAACCAACTCTTGCTGGCTAGTCTTCTGAAGCTTGTGCTGAATTCTGATTATTCATAAGTAAGTCATAGCCACTAATAATACTGCCAGAGGGATTTGTCTCAGATTCATCACGGAAGCCCCCAAAAGATATGGTACTGCTCTCACCCTTGTAGTTTTGATGCATAGTTAGAACGCTGGACTCTCCTTTGTCTTGTCTATGAGCCAGTGCTGCGATGTTACAATCTGCCTTATGATAGGATGGTCCCATTGGTATGATATTATCATCTTCAATGGACAAGATACTTTCATTTCCCTTGTAATTGTGGCCCACAGATATGAAGTCACCATCTCTCTTGTTAAAGGTGTGATCCATTGAAATAAAATTGCCACCTGCCATAGTAAATGTGGGGCCCACTGAGATGGTATTTTCATCCCCAGTACCGTAAGTTGGGCCCAGCGATATAGCGTTATCATTTTTGCTGTAAACTGTAAACATTGAAACTGTGCTATTAACTCCTCTACTATATGGGTGCCCCATTGATGCAGGCATGCCATTGTTGGAATACCTAACTTGATTTACTTCAACTTTTCCCACCAAAGCTGAGACATGAAGAAGCATCTTCACTGGTATGAGACATAGACAAACCTGCAGATGAACTAGTACCATAATGATCCTCAAAATCCTTTCTTCCCATATTCATATTTCCTCTGTCAGCAGAAGAAATCTTCCTATCACCCAAGTTGACAGTTCACATGGGCTCAGATCCAAATAACCGGTCACTGAATTGGCCAGAAACTGAGTGAAAACTCGAAGCATTGTGCCAAGGAGAAACGCTGATGTCTGCAAATCCTGAAAAAGGTTGGCTGTTAATGGATTCTATTGCTTGCTTCTTGTTGCTGAATAATTCTGGTGCAGCAGCATCCAAAAACCACTGATGACCACACTTTGGTTCAGATCTTGAAAAATTATCATAACCCATCTCTCCATTAGATAGACATGCACCATCTCTAGGCATCCAAAAACCCTTTTGCTGGAAAGACTGCCCAAAATCCATAATTGTATATAGTCAAAGTGGTAGCATTTAGCCATTTATTATCGTATGACAACAAGAGTAACAAACAAGTGAGAAATAAGAACCCTATCAGATCACAAAAATTGAAACTGAAAGGAATCATGTCATCAGAAAATTAAGTGAAAAAAAATAGGATATATATCAAGCACAAAATGTTGCATGCTAAGATCAGTAAGACACAATATAACTGTGCAAAACTGGTTAAAGTCCAATAGATTCATCTGAGGGTTTTTTAAAATCAATCAAATAAGTGCTACCACAGACATCAGATAAGCTTTCAGGGTATGAATTAGCTACTAAACAAACATAGGTACTCCAAGAAAACAAGAACTCAACGTTATAACCAAAATGTTCATTTTTCTACTTACATGAACCAAATAGCTCTTCCAAAAAGGAATAATAAAATTTCCAGTTTCTTTCAGATCCTAATGAAACTCAGTGAAGGAATCCTTGGAAACATTTCCACTCTTATATGTTGAGTTGTTGATGATAAGACTTACTCAGATAGCTCGTTGTCCAGGTCTGCTTTAAAAAGACTAATTATAAACAAATTAGCTAATCACAGAGGTTTCTAGAATCATATCATGGCATTTAACATCTTCAAAAAGTTAACTATATGTTACATTCATGACATGAAGGGAGACATTTTTTGCAAGGAGCAGCCAATGAACTTATAGCCTATTCATCTTCTGACATCAGAGAACATAGCATAAATCACCAAATTTGTATATCTAAGACACGTAGTCATCACGATTACTTTTATAAATACCTTTAAATTCCTCAATTCCAACATAATCGAACTTCACATAATTCACCTTATCTTCATATCTAGGACATGTAATCATCATGATTACTTTTATCAACACATTTAAGCTTATGAAACTAACATATATCAGCATATCTGCATATTTGGGCTACTTGTGCACTATGGCTACATTTATTAGGACATTTAAATTCCTTAAAGCTACTACATAATGGAATCTAACATTAATCATCATATCTGCTTCTCGAAGACATGTTATCAACTTATCAGGACCAACAACTTTTCTTAAGATATTTAAATTCCCTAAAGCTATGGAATAATGGAATCTAACATTAATCACCATAACAGCATATCCAAGTCATGTGATAATCATGATTAATTTTGCTAATACATTTAAACTCTTCAAAGTTCTGACATAATGGAACCAAATAATATTACCAGTCGTATACCTAAGGCAAACAATTATCACGATTGCTGTTAAAACATTTAAGATTTAAATCTCTCAAAGCTCCAACATATTGAAACCTTACATAAATCACCACATATGCAAATATAAAGCACAAAACCATCTTGATTACATTTATTTATGCATTTAAATATCTCGCACCAAATCTTTAACTGTAAATCCCAAAGTACAATTCAACTGACAATATTCGATCCAGTGAGACAATTATAAATACTCCACACAAGCGCTTTAATTTATTCAAACAATAATAAAATCAAACACGAATCAATACTGATCCAATTACATCAAACAGGCAATGAAACCTTTAAACAAAAACTCATAACAAATGAAAAAAAAAAAGAAAGAGAAATTCAAAATCATTAGCATGAAAGAACCAAAACTTAAACAAAACATTTGCATGCAATAAAAAGAGCTTCAATAAGAGTTGCGATCACACCATTTCTCACCAATCTTTCAACTCAATGAATAAATGAGTCACTCGCTTGCAATAGACTCGCCTCATGCTTCTTTCACCGTCCAAAACACCTTTAGAAAAATGAAAGGATACATTAATCAATTAATCAAATCAATCAAATTTTAATCACAAAATTTTCAATCATTAATTGATTTAAGAAGAGAAAATTAAACATTTTTCTAGTTATAAAAATAAGGTTAAAAAAAAAACAGATTTTCTTCGCTTTTCTCTGAATTTTACATACGAGAACTTCGAGAGTCTTTTCCAAGCAATGGTGTGAACAAAAACCCTAGATATTAAGATTAATAAGAGAGTTTATAAAGTTAATTCCTTTTCCCGAGAGGTCGCCGGTGAGACTTCCCTGCGAGAACTCGCCGGAGATATTCGAACAAATTTTATTTTTTTTTTAATTCTTTGAAGTGAAAGTAGTAGTAACACTAGATAGACAGGAACCGGATATGTGCTTTCTAACAGTTAAATAGGAAGGAGATAATCTGCACGCTGCACCGCCGTAATCCTCACCGTACACGTGGGGGTAAAGAGTGAAGTGGTCCCGGTTGAGAATGAGGTGTATCGTGACCGTTAAATTTGGTAACCAGAATTGGGCATTATATGGAAACCATTGGAAGTTCTGAAAAAGCTGATTTCTATACAAAGGTAATTTTGTCACGTGGCGGTTTTGATAGGTTTGCACGTGTTGGTGTCTTTGGATGGGAAATTATCTGTGGTGTAAGGGTAGGGAAAGAAGGTAGGGATGTGTACACGTGGACCAACAATGTTGCCATGTCAGCCGTGTATTCTAAATTAAAACGATTAATTTATATTCTAATTCAACAATAGATGGATAATTCTCTTATTTTTTTTAATGAAAGTTTAAATTTATTTAAATTTAAATTTTGTCGTATTATTCATATATGATACGATTAAAATCAAATCAAAATAGTAATTTAATGTTTTATTGAAGTTAATAATTTTTATGATGTATGTATATTTGAATTTGAGATTTTAACTTATTTATTCAAAATTTAACCCTTGGATGTCATTTGGGAGAATAATCATAGAAATTGTATTTTAATATTAAGTAATTTTCAAGTTAATTGTCTTTATCAAGTTGTCATCACTTTTAAGAAGGAAAAACAAAGCAATTTATAAGAATTACAATGATTTTATAAACATGAAGAAGATCTTCTACTCTTAAAATGAACAAGATATTCCACCAAAACAAGAAGCCCAAAGCCTAAAAGTTGGCAGTCCAAAGTTAATTATGGGCATTTGGGCACAAGAAAATGTTTTTTTATTTTCTATTACCATTTTTTTAGAAAATAGTTTTATTTTTTACTTTTTTTAAAAAATATATTTGATAAAAATAAATAAATTTTTTCTAAAAATGTAAAATAGGAAAATAAATAAAATATTTAATGATATTACTATTAATCCCAATTAATTATAAATAAATATAAATTTATTAATTAATGACATTAAAAAATTTTAAATATGATAACTTGTTAAACACAAAGAAAAAAAAAATATATATATTTTTTGTTTTCATAATTGAAAATATCTTTTTTTTTTCATATTTCAACTTATTTTTATTTTTTTTCTAAAATTTTATTTTCATTTTTAATTATCAAACATGTTTTCAAATTTTTTTATTTTTTAAAAAATAAAAACAAAAATAACTCTATTTTTTAAAACCAAATAGTACTTCAGGAAAGGCCTAAAACCATTTTTTTTATATTTAATTTTTGTATTCCAATCATACTATTAATGCATGGCCAAAAAAGGTAATTGAATTGCCTTTATCGAGAAAGCTTGTGATTTTTTTTTCTTTTGCAAATATATTAGTCAATTCATACAATTCCTACCTTTTTATATATATATATATAATATGAATTTAATTTGTTATTTAAATAAGAGTTTATATTTAGTATATTATCAGTGTGAAAATTTAATATATTGTCAATAAATCAGATAATATTATCATGTTAATAAATAAATATTAATTCTTAAAATAAATATATAAAAATTAATATTTTTTAAAAATTTATTTATAAATAAAATGATATCATCTGATTCATTTTATTAAAAAATAATATCATTCAATTCTAATATATATATATATATATATTTATACACACACACACACTAATAGTGCATCATATATTAATCCTTTAAACAATGGGATAACTGTACCATATTAATTGTCAAGGATTAAACTAAAGAAAAATTTGAAAATACCCTTACCTGTCATTAAAAAAAAATAAAAGTTAGTAAAGATTCAATGTATCCATATATCTAATGACTTTTAATAAAAATTCAATGTATCCATATATTTGATGATTTTTAAACTTTACATTTTTTTATAAGAGAAAAAATGAGAGAAAGAAAAATATAAAGGAGAGAAAGTATCTTTTGTGGGTTGGAAGAAAACAACACGAAGGAAATTTTCCATTAATTTACAAAAGTCTAGTCTTAATTTTTTTCCCTACATTTCATTATATTTATTTGTTGTTTTGGATAAGTATTTAATATGATATATTATTGAGAATGAATAATTTTCCATGGATAACATCATTTTTTTTCAATTGAATATATAGTCTGTGGTTTTTTTTTTTTTTGAGTAAATTTCTATCCATGGTTTAAAGGAAAATAGATAGAAAGGAATGGTATTTCTAGATCTTCAATATCTTCATTTCATTTTCATTTCCCTTGAACACTATATTTTTCCAAAATTTCCAATGTAGTTGGCCTAACTTCAATTAAGAGACTAAAAATTCCATAGTTTTAATATGTTGGCAAAAAGTAAAATTATCAACCCCAATACCCATAGAAAGGCCTTTGCTTAACTTAAGTTTTACTCTTAATTTGCTTAATTTATAAAGTTTTATGACTTGATTTTGAGACCCTGCTTAAAGTTTTATGCCTTTACTTAATTTATAGTTAAAAGTTGAAAAAAAAATTAATTGTCACTATATATATTAAAGTATTGAACTATTTTAATATTTTTTCCACTCCAAGAGCTTTTGTTTTTAATTTTTCTTTTGAAAAGCAAATTAGAGTTTATTAATGGAAGTTAATTAAAAAAGCATAATTCAAGAGTTTTTTCTTTTTTTTTTAATTATTTTGATAACTAGATTTCTTTTGGATTTCATTGAATATATAACAATATATAACTAACAAAAAAAGATCAAAGTTCATAAATCCGTCAATAAAAGAGAACTTTTAGCTTTGAAAATTTTCTGTAATTAAAAAGTTGTTCTCTTATAGTGTTAATTTAAGAAAAAAAAATCATTTCGAATTAAAAATGATGCTAGCAAGAAACATGTGCTTCTCCAAGTAAAATCAAGCCCTTGATAGTTAAATTAATCTATAAAATATATATTAAAGTCTTCACAAAAATGTCAACATTTGCTTTTCATTAGAAAAAAAAAAAATAGATCAACCCCCTAACTGTAGTTTAATCTTATACAATGTAAAGTCTTCACAAAAATTTCAACATTTAATTTTAATAATATCTCATTTGTTTTACCCCTAGTAATTTTAGCTCATTCATAACCAAAACCAAAAATTAAAAAAAAAAAAAGTGATGAAACTTGAAACATGAAGAACTGAAACAAGCTATTTATCATACCAAAACATTATAATCAGAAAAATATTGATTTAAAAAGAAAATGAATATTATCTGTAAATTAACGAACAAATTATATCAAATAATACAAGAAACCCTCTCTCTCTCTCTCTCAAAAAAAAAAACTATGTAGCTAGAATTAGGAGGAAGAGTTTACAGGTAACAATCTATTGCTGGAGCTGCCTTGCCAAGCTTGACCAATTCCAAATCATTCTCCAATGGAGTCAAGTTCAAATCCAAGCACAAAATCCTTCTGCTATTAGATTTCTTCACAATTGGTGCTATCACTGGCTCATTAGACAAACTCGAAGGATTATGCTGGTTTTCACTCAAACCAGCCCTATGCCTCCTCATATGTCCCCCTAACGCTTGCCCGATCGCGAATTCGACCCCACAAATCGAACACTCATGTGTCTTAGGCTTCGCCGGAGATTGGTTCTCAGCCCCACCATCTCCTTCCGTCAACTTAGGCTTCTTATGACTCGCCCGGTGACCTCCTAGAGCTTGGAACGAAGGGAATTGCCGATTACATGTTTTGCACACGAAAACTCGGCTAGGGTTTCTATTGTTCATGGCATGTTCATGGTTGTTTCCTTCTTGTGAAAGAAGCATCAAGCAATTTGCCAAAGCTAAATTATTCTCAACCTCTCTATTCCAAAAATCTCTCTTCATTTTTTTGGGGTATGGTGTGAAAATGGTGCAGTTGCTTGGATACTTGATTTCTTTTCAAAGGAAAAGAAGCAAAATGGGAGTTTTAGGGTACCGTGAAGTTTAGTTCATTTATAGGTTGTTTTGAGAGAGATGTAAGTCTGAAAAGTTGACCTTCTAGAATGACGTTTGTGCCCTTGTTTTACTTGATTGATATGGCGACAAAGTGATGGGAATTTTGGGAATAAAAAAATTGTCCGGCATGAAGAGGGTTTGAGTGTGAGATCAGCTCGCTCGTGTTCACGTCAGCATGACCAATTTGCTGAGCCAAGGTTCATGAGTTGAGCGAGTTGGAAGTCTTTGTTAGAAGTCAGAATCTTCAATCCTGTAGAAGCTTTAACTTTCTCAGCAAAATCTGGTGACTGTCATGTCCAATGATATCCTTCCACGTGGACTCAATAGCTTTGAAGTTAGATGGCATTTAGTTATTGGTACTATGATTTTACTTTAGATTTGTTTTCATCTGAAAGTAAGCCAATAAAGTAGAAGATGTTGAGGTAATAACCTTTATATGCTTTTACACCTCATTTTCATCTTGTTTTGGTTCATTGGATAATGCATATTTATGCAACCTTATCATATATGCTCAAAAGTCTTTCACAAGCAAATATTACTCAATTTACAAGTAAATTATGTACAATTTTTTTTATTATTTAAGTACATTAATAGTTAAAAGCGCGTTCAAATTTTGTTTTAATTTAGTTCTTTTTTTGAATATTTTAAAAAATATATTTATCCGTATCAATATGATATATTTAAAATTTATTCTTGAAATACTCTTTACGAAGATTAAAATTGATTGACAAAAATTAGTTGACAACTCGTATTGGTTTAAGTATATAAATTACATATGTTCTTTATATCATAAATGAGAGCTATCATTTAAATTTTAAATCCTATTCATTTTAATCTTTTAATTAAGGATGAAAAGCATTTAAATTGAGTTTTTTTAATAATATATATTTATTTATCATTAAATCAAATGTATATTTAAATCTTTATCTTTTAAGTACTAAGTTAAGGAGAAATTTCACTATCTAGATAAGATTGGAATTTATGTACAAAATTTCCACTAACTTCTTATAGTCAACATAGTTAAAATGTACAAGTTTCCTTAGAAAAGCTAAACACAACAACTTGTCAAGTACATCAGCTTGCTTCTCAGTTCTTTCGTCATTGCTTGTTGGATCTTTCACTAACAATATTGGAAAAACTAGTTACTTTTCACAAGAATCTTCTTCTCGTTGCCTAAAACTGTCGTGTCAAACAATTGACTACATCTTTGCGTTTACTATTAGCGACGACATCATCTCGAATTCGTCGGTACTACTCTAAACCCACGTTACTTTTGAGGTTAAAATTACTACCTACTGACGTGTCAAAGACTCGGAAAGCAGATCTTTTTAGTGACAATACGTAAGATATTTATACGCTGATTTTTGACAAATTTTTTTCTTTGTTGGATTGTTGATTTTTTTGCTTAATTTTCCTTGAAACTCATTTCTTTACACGCATAAAATTAAATTTGAACTTTTCCTTTCTACTATTTTTTTTTGGTTAAAGTTTGAATTACACAATAATAAATAAATTTTATTTATTTCATAAATCTCAACTCATTTATTTTCATAATTTTATAACTCAAAATCTTTGATAACTTATATATTTTGGATATAAAAGACGTTGTAGTGTGAAAATTAAAAAAAAAATGTAAAATTTAAAATTTAAATTTCAAACTTATTAAATAAAAAATGAAGCCAAATAATGAGTAAAGAAGGTTGAACAGTGAATTGAATGAGAAAAAAAAGTTGAGATATTAATTTTGGTGAACCTAATTATTGTTTTAAAATGGTGTAAAAATAATTTTTGGGGAGGGGATGTGACCCCTACCTATTTCTTTTAGATTTACGTTTGTGTTGAATGACATCTCTTAAGATAATCGTATGAACCAATTTAATCAAATTTTGAATTCTCTAACTAATAACTTATATATATATGCAACCTTAGATAAATAGTTAGTGAAATTCAATGAATTTGAACTAAATTTATTCCCAACGAAAAGTGTTGTTGGACTAAAGATTGTTTTTAAATTAAAGAAATGACAAAGGAGATTGAGAGGTGGTTCAACAAAGATCAACAACGATAAAGAGGTGGCGGCTAATCGACTTTGTACCTCATGCTGACTTAACCAAAAAGACCTTTTTTTTTTAAATTTTATTCCTTAGTTTAATTAAGCTTGTTTAATTTGTGACTTTTATTTATTAAAGACTTCCTTGAGCAAACTGTTTTACATGACAAGGGGTTTCTTTGGTTTTAACAAAACAAGGAGTGCACATAAACTTTTCCCAAAAACAAGTTAGAAATGTAATTAATTATAATTTGTAAAGTAAAACTTCATAATTAAAAAAAAAAATAGAGAAGAAATTTTATGATACATTATGCTTTGTTTTGAAGATTGAATAGCCGATTTACCTCAAATTTTATGTAAAAATAAGAGAGTATTAAATTACTATACAATAATTATCACAATGTGTTAATAGTCTCAAAATCGTTCGAATATAAAATTAAATTCAAATAAAAATTGAAAATATTTTTGACTGTTTAAAAAAAAAACAAAACAATGTGACAATAGTCTAGGTCTCAAATGAAACCAATTCTTCTAATTCCTCCCTAATTAGTTAAAATAGACTATAAATTTGGTCCAAATAACATTTATTGCAAGTTTTTGTTTTGTGGGTCATAAAAATGGGCAAAGCTTGACTTATTTTGTATAATCTTCCACACGTTAAGACCAAAATTAATATTGCCGTGAGTGATGAGATATGAAGGAGAGAAATTTTGATTCAAAAAGTTGATGTAAAACAAATTTAGGAAGCAAATTTTGAAGTATTTTGGTAGAAATTTCCCCAACAAAGAGACCAATTGAGCCAAATTGATGATGAATTAACTTTTTAAAGCCTTTTTGGTTGAGTACAAGAGGAGTTGTGGACCTTAATTGTCATTGTCTTTATCTTTACTTAGTATACCATTTATTACTTAGAAATATTTTAGATTTGTTATTCCACGTTCAATAAATAAATTTGAACGGCCAAGACTTTCGACTGTAATATATAGTTTTTTTTAAAATAATCATAATCTTATTTTAAAAAATTGCTATCTGAAGATTAAAAAAAAATAAAAATGTTAAAATTTAAATTTCAAACTTGCTTTTGATAACTAAAAAAGAGAAAAAAAATTAGTGGAAAGAAAATAATATATTTTTTTTACTTTTATTTCTCTGTTTGGTAAGAGAAAAATAAAAGGAAAAAAAAAGAACGGATTTGCATTTTTTATTTCTTTCAAATTTGAAAGGAAAACATTCTTTTTATTTAAATTAATTAAACTTTGAATCTTCTATTTCAAATCAATTGAATTTTTAAATATTTATTTTATTTAATTGAACTTTAAGTACCTATTTTAGCTTAATTAAGTCTACGATTGGATGGAAGCAATTAACCAGTTTTTTTTTAACGAGGACTCAATTGAAAAAATAAATATTTAAGGGCTTAATTAATTGTAAAAAAATAATAGGAGCATGGATGATTATTAAATTTTAATTTAGGGCTTTTTTTTTTGTTTGACTATTTTGCCATTAATTTATTGACAATATATATAAAAGTCTCGTAATTTTGGTGATTTTTATTGGCAACACATGATACATGTCAATTAGAATTAGCAATACAAATAAATAAATTAAATATAAGAAAAGAATTTACTTCCATATATGTTTAAAGAATGTGCTTACATGTTACAAATAAATTAATGTATATATGTTTGATTTAATAATGACCTTAGCAATTCTTCATATTTTTGGTGGGTTTGGTGATAACAAAAATGGCTGTCTGGTCCTTGCATTTATATAAGATTTGGGTTAATATTATAAATAACCCATGAATTATAATAGAATATTTAATATGATACTTAAAATTTAAAAATTTTTAATGTGATACTTGAATTAATGAATTTGTTAATCAATCTAGTACTTATTCTTATTGTGGTTAATTTCTAATGATGTCATATGGTGCAAAATAACCTCTAAATATTAAATTAATAAAGAAATTTATAATTTAGATATTATATTAGAGATTATTTTTAGTTCAAATATCACATTATACATTTTATTATAGTTTTTTAATAACCATTTATAATATTAACCCATTTTTTAGGTTGAAATTCTCTCATTGCCCAAAATGACTTTTTCACTGTTTATGGAAAAACCTGTCAATATTTCTTCAGGTTGAATGGTTGCTAATGGTCCCATAAATGTAGTGTCAAATATTGTGACTTAGATGTAGTAGATCATGAATGGATTCCCATGGAATTGTAGCAAATCCAGCTGCATATTCCAAGGACTACCATACCAAAAATTTGTGAAAGTCTTGGTTTTCTTTTCACATTGCAAAGATCCCTGGAAACTTTTTGTTTTTCTTTATACAAAAGGAACACAGGCATAGGGAGAATTGGAGAAGAAAAACTTGTAACTTGAAAATACTATGGAGCAAATCTTAATCTTAATGGAATCTAATTTTTTAAGAGTGGTAAGTAAATTATTTGAGTTAAATTTAAATAAATAATATTAAAAAAAATTAACGTCATGAATAACTTTTGAATTATAATAAAATATTTGATATAATATTTAAATTTTAAAAATATTTAATATATATTTCAATTATAGATATGTTAATTAATATAATATTTACTCTTAATATTATTAATTCGAAATGATGATATATAATAGATAAATAATTTTTTAAATATTTTTTAATTAATAAATTTATAATTTAAATATTATATTAAAATTTTTAAAATTTTGATATGATATTATATATTTTATTATAATTTAAGAACATCGTTTCCTTTTGGAAAAAGAAAAAGCCCCGCAGTCAAAAGTGGAACAGGACAAGGGCTGCCTTTGAATGTCCGGCTAGAAGTAGAACAGTTTGCTAATAATATGCCATACTGTTTAGGGAGCCGCCACCATGAACCATTGAATCTAAATACTTAGACCCCATGGTTTCTTCTGCACCGGTTCCAACCTGCAAATGCTTAATCATC